AAGGGAATGATGATTTCTTCTTTTGTCCAAGAGTTGCCAATTAAGAGCGTTATGCATTTCCAAAACAGAGACATGAGATTCAAGTTTTATTTTAAGTATAATCCGGCCTGCCCTATTTTGCAATTTTTGAAGGCGATCTGTATATTTCCTGAAAGCTGCACTGTAAATAACATCACCATAATCAAAATACGGAAGGATCAGTGAGCTATATATTAATTTCAGTACCGATTCACTTAGGAATCGCCTTAGTCTTCCTAGAAAGCCTACCATTTGACCAATTTTCTTCAACATATTGTCTATATGTAAATTCCAGTTTAACTTTTCATCAACTAAGACGCCAAGGTACTTGACATGATGAACTTGATCTATAAAGATGTCATTCAATGAAACTCGGAGGACATTCTTTTTAGATATCATGTGGTTGCTTCCAATGAGCATACAAACTGTTTTTTGACAGTTGACACTTAATTTGTTTTGGCACATCCAGTAATACATATTTTCTAGGTCTGAGTTCAAAGCTAATTCAATTCTATCTATAGAAGGATGTGAGAAGTATAAAACAGTATCATCAGCATACAACTGAACTTGACAGGTTTTTATACATTTTACTAAATCATTTATATATACGATGAAGAGCAGTGGCCCTAGAAGGGAACCTTGGGGCACACCACACTCAATCACTGATTCGAAAGAAAGCTCTGCATTAATAAGTGTCCTACTGACTCTGCCTGACATGTAGCTTTTAAACCATGTACATGGAGTGCCAGAAATTCCTATGTTATTGAGTTTCTTAATAAGAATATCACAATTCACGGTATCGAAGGCCTTTCTTAAGTCCACAAATACAACCCCCGTATACTCTTTCTTATCAGTTGCGTGAAGCCAGTCATCAGTTACTTTTAGGAGAGTGGTAATAGTTGAGTGACGTGGCCTGAAACCAGATTGGGCGGCTGACAAGATATTGTTCTCATGTAGAAACTCCAAAACTTGTCTTTGGACAACCCGTTCCAGTATTTTAGATACGCAGGGCAAAATTGAGATGGGCCGATAATTTGAAGGAGAGCTCTTATCGCCACTTTTGTGAATTGGGATAATCTTGGACCTTTTCCATTGTTGAGGAAATTTACCGCTCAACAAAGAGCGGTTGATCAGGTTAGCAATACTCTGTGAAATCTCGGTAGCACATGCTTTTAAAACAAAAACTGATATTTTATCTACACCTACAGATTTAGTATTTTTCAATTTGTTTATAACTCCCAACACATCATTTTCGGTTACAAGGGTAAACTCAAAACTCTTGATTAATGGTATATTGTTTTCTATAGGGAGAGGCGTATCAGGAATTTCTTTTGCTAAATTACTTCCTACTTCAGCAAAGAAGGTATTGAAAAGATTAGCAGTATCAACATTACTTTCTGAATTAAGCGCAACTATTGGCGTGTCACGTTTCTTATTTGGAATGATAGATTTTAATGTCTTCCAAGTCTGTTTTGGATTAGCACTAGAAAGTGAGAATTTATCAGAGTAGTATTTTCTCTTTGCTTTTCTTACATCAGTAGTAACTTTATTACGTAGTACTCTATATTCACACATGAGTTTTTCATCTTTAAGTTTACACGCTCTCCGTTTCAGTTTGTCACGCTTTTTCATGAGTTTATAAATACCTGCATTCATCCACGGAGAGCCCCTAGTACTTATTCTTTTTGAACGATATGGCATGTGTTTGTCAACAACTTGTAACAACAGATTTTGCCATAATTCAACAGCTTCATCAATTGAATTGCACTGATTTATATACTCCCATTTCTGGTTGCGAATATCATTTCTAAACTCAATAACCATTATCAGTTTACATAATTACATTGAGTATTCGGGGGCGATGGTGTCACTTTGTATTGACAGCCAATGCGAGGCGTTAGTCAACAAAATTACCTTCTATATTGCATACTTCAAGCACATTTTCCACAATTAATAAATATTTCCCGTTTTTGCATCGCCATTGGGTCAACGTCATCGTCATTGGGTCACCCCCCCCCTTAGCAAAAAGCTAGCTCCGCCCCTGGGGAATGAGGGAGTTGTCACCTTTGTTTAAGTGAGTGAAAAAGTATGATGTATAGAATTAGTAGGTCGTGTTGAAAAGAAAAACAAATTAATTAAATCAAAGGACGATCTATACATGTCATCAATAGGCTATATCGAAGTTAAATTTTTCGAAAATACTTCACATACTTCATATTGCACATGCGGGGTTGTGCGCCCGTTTTTTAATCCAAGAAGCATACTTTTAGTGCATAAGTACAAAAAAAAAATAATAATTTGGGGGGATGGGGGGTGGGGGTGGTTGCGGGGCCTGAGCATGTTTATGGGGGTTTCGCTACCAAATAAAAGTTATGCATTTTTGAAGGTGCGATCAATTAACATATATTGACAACTTTGTGACGTATCTAATTGCGAGGTCTTCTCCCATTTGCCTTTTACTAAACATATTTAAAGACTTGTATTTTCCTTTCAGAAAATTTGCAATCATACATTCCCCTTAAATATTATAATTATCGAACATAATTTGTTTATATAAAATCCCTGTATGAAACAGGAAATGAAAGTATATGAAATTTTCTGTATATACAGAGCGAATTCGAGAGGAACCCGCAAGATACGTCACAGTGTATATATAGCCACTGTGTTTCACAGTGTTTCACTGATGACAACTTCGAAAAATCATAACTTTCTTATCTCAAACTTTCACGAAGCTTTCACCACATTTGCTTCTCTCAAAACCAAGATGATACCGGGATGGATTTTTCTTTAAGGTATAAGGCAAATTATAATACAGTTTTGGGTTAAAGAAAGACAAAACAATGTGATCTAATATATCGTTTAATGTTGGTAAGATTAAATTAAGGCCGTTTCATGATGTTGGTCAATGGTGATAGATTATGTCTCCTTTAAATTCGGTGTTTGTGATTTGTAGCAATAATTATTAAATATATTAACGTTTAGATGATTTTTTTTGAAAATCAAAATACCCTCGAAAAAATCCTCATAATATACGATGATTATGCTTATGTACTGCATAACCAGCCTTAATTGTCCATTAACATTTTGGTAAATTCTCTCATGCAATAATAAGTGACCAGAAGTCAACTTTATACTTTGCCTTTGATTGAAGAATAATAATTAATCAACAGGGTAAGGGAAGCAGACGATACAAGGGGGGGGGGGTGGAGAAAGATAAAGAGAATGTCAAGAAATTGTAATAATGAAAAACATTATTTGCTCGAGATTTTTAGACAAAAGTTCTCATTAATTCGCTCACTACAAATTAACTAGAGAGTAAGAACAGAAATATGATTAATACACCTCAGTGAATTTTAGACTTTTAAACACAAGTTCTCATTGATTCGCTCACTACAAAATTAACTAGAGAGTATAAGAACAGAAATATAAGTTAATAAACCTCAGTGAAATTCTGTGCTATATCCGAAGACATACGTCACTAATTATCATAATCACATGAAAGCGAAAACATACAACTACTTTTATGGCTGCATGTATGTTTTCTCTTATTATAATACCCAGTCGTCTCATGTTTGTATGGATGAAAATTATGATCTCCATGTTTTAGCCTTTATAATACATGTATATAGTTATCACGTGACGACGCTCCGTCAGTCGATATAATAATTAATATGCCTTATTTCCGCCTGATGCTCTTTGTCTTTTGTGGAATAAACAAGCATAAAACAGACTCTCGGTGGTCTAATTACAATACCACTGAACAGCAGTAACCTATAAACATTATTGTTAGCTTACAATTATAAAACGGAACGAGGAAATTATCACTATATCCTGAGCTATTTGTAATTGAGGCGTCCGAGCTCTTTCATGCTTTTAACATTCACATCGTCATGACATGAACACGGGAATGGTATAGGCGACTGGACCCAACTATCAGTATACCGGTAAAAAAGTAAGTATTGCTAAGTAATTTTCGATAGATGTCCGCACACGTTTTAACTTTATGCTTAATTAGATTTAGTCTTGAGTACGTATAAGTCTACTCATTGATCAAAAAATAATATGGCAGTCTCTTTTCTAAGCATGTTTATGTTTATAATGCTATTAGTATATTTCCCACCGTCTTCGACAAGCATATCACTGAGGTTACTCGTAAAGTGAAGTACGTATGTGTGTTAAGCGAATTCCTTTCTGCCCGGGTAAATCGCTCTGACGGGACTTACCCGATTACGAAATTCTTTTTCATGTATGCATTGTATCAATAAATATATATGAATATAAGTCTATATAAATTGAAAGGGTCTGACGATCTGATATCGGGGGGCTCCAGTGTTAAAAGTGTAGGCCACAATTATATCCAAATCAAATTTATGAAAACATAATATTTGTGTGTTACTTTTAAAGGAAATTAAAAAAGGAATTGATATGGGTCATATTCCGTCGTTGAATACCTTAGAGATTTCATTTTTCTTTTTATTTGATTTTCTTTCTGCATTTTTCCAAATACAATAACTGAATAACAAAGAACATGTAACGTAGGGTATAAAATAAACAAACATAATAACTTCATGTCAAGATATTATTTAAGTATATACATATAATAAAGAACTAAATATTTCTTTAACATATTATTATAGATTTAAAGTATTATCCGAACTATATCTGTGGAAAAGTGCAGGAGACCTAGTCAAGCAACGCTTTACTAGGATGGCGGCTACTAAAGAAAATTCTTAAAGTGACTCGATAACATTGTTGAAGGTTGATGAAAACCTGCGTAATTTTGTATGAAATGTGACTTATTATATTCCTTCTAACGTTCTTACCCTCTAACATGCAACAAATCCTTAAAACAAAGGTGTGGTTTTCTTTGAAGGCGTCACTGTGCAACACCTTCTGACAGTAAATTCTCCCAGCCATTTTGAATTTTCCCAACCGTTTTTCCTTGAAAAAAAGAAAGAAAAAAGACAGGCTTTTAAAAATATTTCATCATTTAAAATTTCCGGAATGGTATCAAGAGCCAATTCATTGCTTTGTGATCACTCGATAATATGAAAATCTGTTCATACGATCTTTTCGTATGAGTTTGTGAGTGTGTTCGTGTGGTTTGTGTGTTAGCTAATGGTAAATGTGCACGTAGCTCTTCCATTCTTTCCTGTCATAAATCATTTGTCGAAACCAGAGCTCAACCAATCTCATGAATCTTTATGTTATAGGCAGTTCTTTTCATCATGGCAGGACATAGAGAATCATATGCAGCCCGTGATCATTCACCGGCCTCCTCCTCCTCCTCGCCCTCGTCGTCGCCGTCGTCGTCGTCGTCGACTTTGTCAGTGAATACGTCGGGGAAGTGTCCCCAAACATATTTCTTACTGTGTGCGCTCACTGTTGCTCAGGTCGGATTGCTGTCTCTGTTTTTCATCTGGACTGTCCAAACTTGTTATACTCGATGTGAGTCACAGTGATTTCATTTTATCAAGTGAATTATTGAAATATCAATTAAAAAAAGAAGCTCCTGATTATATTCAACACTGATTAGACATTTGTTTTTTAATTGACTGATATCAATATAGTTGATAAGGATAGTTGCTATTGAAAAAGTATATGACAAATTGATATGTCCCAATTTATGTTTCCTGATAATGTCACATTTCAAAGCTTACATCCAAAATATATTCGAGAAACGTTCTGATTCAACCAGATGAGTTCACCTTCCATTCCTGACTTTGGGTGTTAACTGTAAAAAGTAAAATAATTATGATAATAACACCACAATAATCAACATCATCGTCATCATCATCATCATTATTAATTATACTTCTCGTATTATTTTGTCCACCTTTTTTTTCAGATCAGCGCGTCATCATCGTTTATCCTATCGATTCGAATCCTCGGCTCCGATCAATGAGTAATGATTCTCACCGAGACGACATCAATCATCATCATCACCACCATGGCAACAAAAGCAACATCACGACTGATCTTCTGGGAGACATTCAGCATGAGGGGACACCTGTTTTCAGCAATGATAGTGGGCAGTTATCGAACTTTCGTCCAGACTCAAAACGAAATGTCAGTATCGTCGGAACGACGCGGTTTGAATTACTCGCCCTCACATTAAAATGGTTAGAGAGTTTGAAGATATTGAATTTAGATTATGACGTCACATTAATCGTAGAAGACCAACCTGCGTATAGAATACTGTCAAAAAGGAAAAACAGTGCGAAAAAGTTATACAAGACGCGTTTAAAACCAAGACGGGAGCGGCAAAACGGGACGCGAGTCATGAGTTTGACACTATCTGATTGTGACGTCGTACTGGACATTCTCGGTTCGGGTAGAGACGTACTGAATACTGCAACCGATTACGTTTGGTTAAAAGATCCCATACCTCTAATATGGCAGAAGTATAACCAGTGCGACATGTGGATCCAAAGCGGGGAGAATCAAACGCAGGGTTTTATGTTCCTGAAGTCATCGCCAAAGATAATCTCCTGCGTGAAAGCTTTGAAAACGAAAATGGCAAGGAAGTCGAAAGCGCCACGATCATTGGTTGCCGATGATACCCTAGTACATGCGCTAAGGACTGGGTTGCATCGCTTCTTGGACACTTTTGATTTACGTATATGCCACTTGGGAGAAGCTTATTTCCCTTGATAAATATATATGTATGTGAGGAGGAGGGGTAGTATCTGCCCACAAGTGGGGAAATCCTCATGGTGCCTTTAGAAAGGGGTGTATTTAAGGAGGAGGGGTGGTACTCTGCTCACAAGGGGCAAATCCCCATGGTCCTTTGAGAAAGATGTGTATTTGAGGAGGATGGGTGGTACTCTGCCCATAAGGGGGTAATCTTCATGGTGCCTTTAGAAAGGTGTGTTTTTGAGGAGGAGGGGTGGTACTCTGCCCACAAGTGGGGAAATCTTCATGGTGCCTTTAGAAAGGTGTGTATTTGAGGAGGAGGGGTGGTACTCTGACCTGCCATGTAGCTTACTTTATACAAGCATACATACCAGTAATGCTTTCTTAGCAGTCAGGTAAAAACAAAACATCAATAGAGGAGTAGCTCGATTCCGAAAGGCCCTAAATCCATTTTTGGCCAATATCGACTCCCCCCCCCCCCTTTCCCCCATGGAAAAGTGGAGCGATGTGGAGCGATGTGTGTGCAGCGCTTTGTAACCACATTGAAAAGGCGCTATATCAAATATCTTTTGGATTGGATTGGATTTGAACAGTTACAGTGGTTAAAACGTGCGCCCCCTCCCTAACACAAGAGAGAGAACTCCCTCCCCCAAAAGGAGGAACATGAAACTTGTATTTACACATACAGATTACATTTTGATGAGTTGGCTCGATTTGCCTACGAAGATTGCGGACAAAATTTCAACAGTACGAAAAAACACACCAGGTTCTGTAAAACTGAGAAAAAGAGAAGATTTCTAAATGAAATGATAAGTGATTTGTGACTTTCAAGGAAGAAAAAAACAATTTCTATCGCTCGTGACGGCCATTTTATTTTAATTGTTAAGAATTCAAGAACTTCCGGGGGCTCCGACCCCTCAACCCCAGCAAAGCCTGGGCCCTTGGACCCCATCCGTACAAATATTGTCTTTAGGAGAGAGTGTGTGTTTTATGAAGTTCAAGCCCCACATGAAGGCAAGCTTTCGTCCATACACTATTGTGCACTTTGGGTTATTCACACCATACTGTGAGGTTGAGTGGGTTGCATACGGTGGTGTGGGATAAGGACTATAAGGGGTATTATTTGTTTTACATTATAACTGATTTCGTTTGTTTCTTTTCGTTCGTAAGTTATGACTTGTTATGCATTAAAGTTGATAGAATTATCATATACCGTTAATGATTATAGAGAAATGTATTTTGAAGAATTACTTGTATTGCTTTGATACTCAATGAAATACACACACAAAAATATCGAGAGAGAGAGAGAGAGAGAGAGAGAGAGAGAAAGAGAGAGAGAGAAAGAGAGAATTGATTTCCAGCACCTTCCCCTTAGATCAGATATAGACCTAAAACAATCCTCATTTTCTTCAGTATAAAAGTGTCATTCAGGGGGGGGGGGGGGGTCGTGAGAACTATTTTTTTTAATTAAAAAAACAAACATTTGTATCAAATTTTGGACCGCTCGGTGGAACAGCGCCACCATGTTGGTGGATGCTGTCATTTGTAGGGCTCATTGTTGTTTCTCGGGGGCGGCCGAGCGACTTCCAAAGTATGTGTGTGTGTGGGGGGGGGGGGCACCAAGAAAAAGGGAACTTTCTGGAAAAAAGGGCACCTATAAAGGGAAATCTCAAAGCGAAAATATACAATTATTTAGATTTTGGTATATACCCTTATACTGTGATTACAATTATCAGGGATGATTTCAATATAGTTTCACTTTATAAACCATACAAGATATTGCTTAATTGAACATCATGTTTTGCAGTTGGGTTTTATTGTCTAAAAAATTGTTTGCGAGCGAGGAAAATTTTTAAAATATGTAAGGTCGCAGTGCGAAAAATTACATTTTATAAAGAGGAAAAACCCAATCCTAATGAGGTTATAAGCACATTCTCATAACGGGAAGGAAAACTCCCCCCCCCCCCCCTCAATATTTGTTTTAATTAACAAAAAAACAAAAACATTGTGCTAATGGGTGACCAAAAAAAAGGTGACCTTAACCCCCCCCCCCCCCCCCCCCCCCCCCCCCATCGGAACAAAATATCGATCGTACACATTTTTACATTTCTGGACAAAAACAAACTATGTGCTCTAAACCCCCCCCCCCCCCGATTATTCAGCGGCTGGCTGAGTCGTTGCAAAATTTTCGGCGCAATTTTCAAATTTTAAACCCCCCCCCCCCTTTCGAAAAAATCCTGCGTACGCGCCTTGATGTGTGCAAGCGTAGCGAGCGGGCTTTGGGGGGAAATTGCTTTTAGTCGCTTGAAATTAGCTAGGGCGCGTTTAATGATGAGAGGAAAAGGGAACACATATCAGGAAATAAAAGGAGCATGTGCCAAAATACAAAGAGCAATTATCAAAGGTAACAATGGGGCACTTCTTACACCCTCAAAAAGAGGCACTCACCAGGGATGAAAAAAGTCAGTCATGAAAATAGGGAACGGGCATTTTTTGACGGAAAAGGGGCCCCCGTCAATTTTGATAGGGGCATTTATAAGATATTATTATATATTGTTAAAAGGGAAATTATCAGAAGTGAAAAGGGGCACTTATCGCACCTGAAAAGGGGAAATGACCAGATATGAAAAGGGGCACTTATGTGAATGAAAAAGGGGCACTTGTAATAAAGAAAAATGTACATTAGTTAAAAGGAAATGGGAACCGATCAGATTTTAAAGGGGCATTTATCGGAGGTGAAGGGGGCACTTATCTGACGTGAAAAGGAGTAACTTCTCCTACCTGAAAAGGGTCATTTACCAGAGAAGGGGCACTTATGAGAAGGGGAAAGGGCTCTTTTTTAATGGAGCACTTATCATTAGGAAAAGGGGCACTTATTAGAAATTTAAAAAGGCACATGTGAAAATATAAGGTGCGCTTATCCGAGTTAAAATGGAGGTAGTTATTAAAAGGGGAAGGGGCACTTCTAACAAAGGATAAGGGGCACTTGTCAAATTAAAAGAAGCACGTACCTCTCAGAGGTGAAGGGGGCACTTCTCGTACCCAACTAGGGGCACTTATGAGAATGGAAAATGGGAACCTGTTGAAGGAAAAGGGGCACTTATCAGAAATGAAAAGGGGAAGGGGCACTTTAACAAATTAATAGGGGCACTTGTCAAAGTAAAAGGGGCAGTTCTTAAAAAGTTAAAGGGGCACTTTTCGGGTGCACTGTGCCCCACCCCCTCCTCCTCCCTTGGGAGGGCCGCCTATGATAGTTCTTCCTTTTAATACGGAAATAAATTCTAATCAAACATTCAAGAAAACTCTCAAAATGTAAGTTCAAACGTGACAGAAATGAGCAGGGGATCAAAGAGAAAATCAAAGCTATTACAGGACAACATCAAACACACCCCTTTCTTGTTGATATTTTACATATTGGTTGCTCTTTACAGCAATTTATTACAAAAACCAAAAAATATCACAAATCCACAGACAAAAACATAATTGATTTCATCAAACATTTTTTGTAATAACATAAACCAATATCAATAATTGTTGATAGGTGCAAATGAGGAAGGTCAGTCAGAATGCATGCCCAGAGGTGTGTGATGAAACACTTAAAACATCCCACACAGAAATCCACCAAACATTGATAGGAAGGGATAGAGTGTCATCGAATGAGTATTGATACATACATCAGATATGCCAACCTTTATATTCAGCTTTTAGGGAGGTTTCTATCAACTGCATACAGCATAATAGGAATAATCTTTCCACAAATCAGGGAGGCTTTAATTTTAACATTTGTGTTGAGTGACGTAAAAAAAGAAAATTTTCAGGGAGGGTTGGTATCTCTGCAGAGGCTTCAGGTATATACTAGAACATACATGTTCAATCACAGTACAAAACAATACCTTTAAATACTTGTATCTAATAAAATGATATTTGTATTTCTGTCTGTGGTAACGATGTGAAGCATAACCTTACATCCTTATCTGATATATTGATCTGACAGATTTTGTGCCAAAAAATACTTAATATCAGACAAAATCAGGTCTTTCATAAGCTGCCTAATGAAGAAAATTATGCACATTATCATACATTTTTTCCCTTCCGTAGATTATATAACAAAAAAATTCAATCAACTGTGCTTTCATCCCTTCTTATATGGTGTATATGGAATACCACTCCTTTCATGCACTCCTGCTAAATCGCTTAACAAAGATATATTTAAGTAATTCATCATTGTTTCTATGAGCCAGCGAATCTGTCATATATTTTAACGTATGGATTCGTCAGTTCATATATCAACCATAAGTTGTCCTATTAATTCTTGTTAGGTAGTGCAGGGAATACACATATCTTATCTTGGATTTCAAAAGCCCTATTCTGCTCCTGTGCATAAAAGGCTAGTATTCTGTTTACACATACAACATACTAAAAACATATTTGTGATCAAGTTCAATTGAACTTGTTTAACACATCTGATTGGACTAAACCAAATCCTACATTATTAATTTTGCCATAATTGATTGAATTCTAACATTTGGCTTCATTGCAGCACATAGTCTAGACCTCAAAGAAATCCTTGGCAAAAAAAAATGGGAGGGAGTACATAGAGAAAAACATTTCCTACAAAAAAAAAAAATTGAAGTGTCAAACAACCGACTTTCATATTCACGTAATCATATCAATTCTACCCGTTATAGAGCCTACAACTATTAACATTATCCTAAATCTAAAAGTTCTAGTATGTCTAGGATATTTACAATCATGTAAAATAGCTCAAAACAACTGCTATTGAATGGTATTTACATCGACGTCTTCTTCAGTTGCTCTGATGTGAAAATGATTTCATGACCTTTGACCTAGCTGTACATTCCTGTGGTCAGTGAGAAAGAAGAAACAGCTAAGAGGATACACAGGGTGCTTTATAACCTATGACAACTTTAAAGAATGACACGAACACAAACGTAAATTTAGGTTAATAAAATCAATCAATAAGTAGGTTTAGACGAGCGATATGCCTCTTCAGTCTTCAGGGGGGGGGGGGGGGATATAACAATTCATGTACACATGTAGAAAGAGAGAATATAAAATACTCTACGGGAGAAAAGGGATCAACTTTAAATGACAAAAAGAGAAGATCTTCATATGGGAGAAAATGCATCATGATTGTGTGGGAGAGACAAAGAGATGAAGAAAGAGAAGATTTCATGGAAAGATATGGTGAAGAAAGAAAGCTGTAAGGTTAGTTCAAATGAAGAGGGAAACTGATAACTTTAATCAATTATGATGATGATGAGAAAGAGAGTGCGAGAGAGAGAGAGAGAGAGAGAGAGAGAGAGAGAGAGAGAAGAGAGAGAGAGAGAAAGAGAAGAGATAGAGAGAGAAAGAAAGAAGAGAAAGAAAAAGAGAGAGACAGAGAGACAGATATGGGGAGGGAGGAAGGGGGAGAATGTATACCATGTGTGATAAAGAAGACATACCTGTGAGAGAGAATGTAATGCACCTCTTGTAATATAAAATATAAGAAAAACACCAATGGTGCATACCCTATGTGTGAGAGACACAATATACGTGTACATGTTCCTAATGTGACAGAAAGGGTTAGAATACCTTGTGTGAAAATGCCTACACACAATCCTTTGTGTGGTATGCTGAACAAAATACTGTAATAAATGGAATACAGTCAAAAAGAGAGAAAAATATGTTAGCATGTTTCAAGAAATTCACAGCTCTCTGTCTACAAAAGCTGCCTCATAAATATTTCTGTGAATATATTACCTGCTGACAGCCAGGAGGACATTAGCTCTGCGTGAAATGAAACGAGACAACTCCCTTTAAGCACTCAGAAGATGACATATACAAAAACCTTAATTGATACATGTCAACACTATAGTATCTAACACATCATGATAAACATTTCCCGGTGCGCACAAATCGAACACTGTATAAGAATATATCTGATAGAGCTGTTTTGATTTACTTTACTCAACTCGTTCATTCGTTACACTCACTTACAATGTACACTGAGTCTCTGGGCAAAGTGTTCTGTAGTTGCATACAAAGAGGTATTAGCTTCCTAGAAAAAGAATGCCTTTCTTTCAACATATATGTACATCTGGCATGGCACACAAAATACAATCTTCATCAACTGTGCTGTCCTCTGTAATATAGATTTCAAAAGCTTAATCAAAACATTGCCCTTCTGCAGTTTAACGCTTCGACATGTGAGGTGCGGAAACGTTACGGATTGTCGGTTAGAACACAAACCTGCAGCATGTGCACCATACATGTATGTACATCATTACGGGTATATGTACATCATGTACTATCGACTAATAGATAAAAATACAGACACTTGGCAGCCTAACGGTAACGCCAAAAACAGACAGACCTTTAAAGGGGTGAGTGCAGTGATCAACAGCTCAAATTGGCAACACGGTTCAGAATTATGCAATGTATACTTACAAAAGTTACACATATGCATTGCAGGGACAAGTTAATTTTCCTTTATCATTGACGATGCCTCAAAATAAAAAAAAATAATGAAAATATTTTTCAAGTGGAAAAAAATAACAAACAAACATAGAAAGATACTAAGATACTGTGACTCGCCATTTTTCGTTGAGGGGCGGTATCTGCGCAAGTCGACCCCAAGTCGACCGTAAGTCTGCAAACTTATTCAAATTATAAAGCCTTCTACTGCAAAAACACGATATGTTTGACAATTGCATTTTAATGTTGATAAGTGACTGTACTTTGGTCCGGTGCTTAGGGCCAGAAGGACTTTATCTCATATCATTGTGTACAGAGTTAATGCTCTTCTTACTCTCAGCAGACGAGATACAGAGCATGCCAACTCATTAAGAAAGAAGCAAATTGAACTTTGAATTTCAGAATTGATTGATTTATGATCCATTCATGAATAAGAGTCCATCAAAATGAAGCTTATTAAGATATATCATATTATCACATCGAAGATGCATAAAGCTGTGTTCTTCCCCAAAACCAATATTCAGTTTTCATGCAGATCTTGTTTAAATATTTCTATCCAAATATATTGTTCTTACAGTAGAACCTCACTAAATGAGAATACTGGTATACTAGCCAATTACTTTTAAAGAGCTTTTAGGTAAATCAACTGGTCCAACGGGGTATATTCATACTTTTGTTTTCTTTAGGGCAAACTGATTTGACTACTAAGCAAAGAGCCTCTGTGTCCTACCAATGATAACAGTGACAGAATGAACTAGATGCCAAGCTCATATTCTTCTAAGCTTATCACAATCCAATGCAATTGACTCTGGTATCTACAGAATGCATGATGATATTGATTGTAAAGGCTTAAATTACGCATTATAATACAGGTTCCAGAATGTAGGTAATATCCTTGGTTAAATGAAACGAAGTGAATGTACATCATTCTCTCCTACCAAGCCTGCCATGCAAAAAAGTTCTCGTCAAAAAGTGATAACCCATGGAAGTGAAAGTGCATGGCTGAGATGCGCATATGCGTATCTTTGGCACGTAAAAAATTAAGAAACAATGAGATGCACAGAGTTTCAAATGGCAAGGACAAAGATGTGCACACTGAGACGTGCATTTGACCGTTGAGCTGCACTTATGTGATGGTCATTCAATAAAAGCAATCGGCCGCCTCGATGACTGTGCGACACTTGGCATTCTGATCAGGTTTGTTGCTTATTTCTTGACTCTATATTCAAATTGCCCCCCATTTTTATAAAAGAATCCTTGTGCATTAGTGATATGCACTGCACTCTGTAAAGTCACAATGAGCAGGATTAATGAACGAGAGTTGTTGATTGTAACTCGACCTACGTGCAGTGTATGCTCACTAATGCACATGCAAACATTAATTATTTGTACATCATCAAAGGCAACGAGCGTAGCAGGTGAACTGCAGCAGCAATGGGAACAATCTCTACTTAAATACACTACACTCAATGACATCAACTATTAAAGGGCTGAAACTGAAGAAAACATTAGGGTTTCACATTCACAGTGCAGCTAGATTCTCACGTATGAATTTCTCCTCGCTTCCATCTGTAGTAGTTCATTCACTAAACGCTCAAACAAGCTCAATTTGCAGCAGCCATCCTCAAAATTGTAAAAAGAAGTCCATATACTCGTGATTTGGCTTTTCTCTATCTCTGTGTGTGACAGTAGGGATAGTTCATCTTGCTCATTAGCTGGTTGCTCCCTATTGTTGGGCGGAGGCCGAGGGGGTGTGGCCGGGCCTACGCCTTGCTGTTTGACTGGTGGTGGTTTTCCTTTGTAGGAGCACATCTCCTGGCCTGCTCCTTCACTTTCTTCTCATATTGCATCCTGTTTTGTCTGTAGATAACAGGAGAGGAAAACAATAAAGCTCAATCATATTATGATCCGATAGACCAGTGTATCCTTTTTCAAAATGAGGAAGGCGTAATGCGCGTTACTTCTTGCATTCTACCCCACACAGACATGTGGGCATTCATAAGAGCTTTGATGCATGTAACTACTTTTTTAAATCCCAACTTGCCATTGGATTACTTAACCCATTAGCAACAAGAGATTTTGTAAAAATGGCCAATTACTCACTGGAAAATGATGCAAAATTGCTCTCAATTTGACATTGTTCACATAGAGGGATACTACAGCTCGTTGAAAACGGACGAAAGCAGCCTGAGGTTTTTGGGTGGTTCAGTGAGTATAAGAAGGGCGGTTTTAGGCGCTTTAGTTGCTAAAGGGTTAAGCAGTCCAAATTTTCATTTTCATTAAATTGTGGCAGCATAAAGAAATAATAGTAAGATATTAGAGAAGTAATAACAGAAATTTGCTTCATGAAATACTGGCATGTCAGGAGCAAGAAGACAACAAAGTACTGTACTTACGAATATATTGTGTATGCTTCTGCCTGGGCTGGGTCATTGATGTTAGGGTCGTTGAGTAAATCCTGGATGCCAATCAAAATCTGAAAAGAAAGGGCAACCAAAAAGTATGAAAATCACTGTGACAACAATACTAGGAAGGTAAAAATCATTCATGCAACAACCAAAAAACAGAAGAAAAAAGTGAACACAAAGCATTTCTGAATAAGTGATATTAATAAGCAAAGATTTCTTAACCCTTTCAGGTTTGGCTTTTTCATAAGTTCTACTACTAGCAAAACTAGCAAAGCCTTATGAGGGAGAAACAGCCATTTTTCTTTAGAAAGGTCAACGGGTCAATGGGAGGCGCTATAGCTCAGTTGGCAAAGCAGAGGTCTCGTAAATCCGGCGACCCGGGTTCGATGCACTAGTGCCCTTTGGTAAGGCATTTTAATCCTCATTACCAGGCCTTTCGGAGAGGACCTAAAGCTGTCGGTCCTCTGGTTGCTTACTGACAAGCATTTATGCTTTCTTAGCAGTCAGGTAAAATAACTTCCGATACACACAAGTACATGGCTACATATCTGCTCTACGTCAGCTGTGTGGCTCCTAAAGGGTGCTCACAGCATCAAATTGGGCCTGCCTGTGTGGCACTCACGGTTAGGTTTTACATGAAGGAGTTACTGTAGGGAGACCCAACATTGAATTTTACCTGTTTAATCGTTACAGCTGGTCTCCAATCTTTATCCTCGTCCAGTAGAGAGAGGCACACTGTGCCTGATGGGTACACATTCGGATGGAACAATGGAGGGTCAAATTTACCTACAGGCGGAGAACAAAACAGATTTCATTTTGTTTTTATTTTTGCATTTTCAAAATGGTACATATTCATATACATAAATTAACAATTATATCTGCATTATACTGTACATAATAATAATATTTTCACTAAATGTAGGATGAAAGTATGGCCATTTTCTTTAATATTTTTTTGATGAGTTATTTCTCATCATATATCAAATATGAGGGAATTTGAAGAGCAATCCATTTTCATATTCTCCCACACTGACAGAGAATTAATGAGGAAGCTCATCATCTTTATATTTTGAATGTTATTTTGTCAACTTGAATGTAATTTTGATATTATTATCTGTTATGATATACCATCTTTTATCATTGTATATATTGTCATGATGATTGAAATAAATGTCAATTGGATTCAATTTACCAGAACTCGACCTTCTCTTTAACCCTTACTGTACTGGGGGGGGGGGGGGGGGCCTGGGAGGCCCCCCCCCTCGACATTTTCGGAGATTGCGCCGCAACCGCTCGGAATTTCGAATTGTCGTTTCATGACTTTTTTCCTTCAAGTCTTACGCACATTTTGATACCATTTTCGTCGAAATCGGATATACCTGTAAGGTGTTACATAACAATTAGTATGCGCATGTCATAAAAAAAGTGCTATAATTGCATATAATCATGTACAAGCAGAAATGTGAAGATATGAATTGATATCAAATTGCTTTTATATGTTTCTCAAAGTAACTTGATGTATTTCATCACAAAAGAATACATTAGAAATAAAACAATAGATATAATAACAAATAAAAACCAATGAAATACATAAGAAAATAAGAAGTTGAAAATCGCATCAAATTTGCATAAATTATCATTATTAATTACATCAAATAACTATTTTGTGTTAGAAAAGAAGTTTCATATGAATAATGAGTTTCAACATAACAAAAGTGGAGTCTGACAATTTTTGTAATGATTCTAGTTCCCTGTATATTTCCAGATTAGATATTCATGAATGCATAATTTGCATATTCATAATTTATGCAAATTAACCTATGCATTTTCAAATATCATAAAAATAATGAAACCTAATGAATTTGAGATGAAGGAAACATTTATTCAATACATTTTCACGATTCTTCACAAGTCTACGGACAAATATGTAGAGTTTTCTGTAAAATGCATAAAATTAGCATTTTGCATAATTAATTAGGCTATAACGACAAAAATTTGCATATTACGAAAAAACTAATTATACCATCTTGTTCCTTAAATAAATATCTACAAACATGCAAATTTTCGCGTTCATCGGACATTTGACGGCCGAGATCATAGGGGGGGGGGGCCTCCCAGGCCCCCCCCCCCCCCCCCCCCAGTCAGAGAGTGCTCGAAATAGCCCAGTACAGTAAGGGTTAAAGGCAGTCATTGCTTTTTGCAGAATTGTGTGAACTCCAAGATGTTTCAAATATATCCTTCACATAACAATCATGTGAGACGTTTTTGAGTCAAAGGTCCTGTAAATTAGCTCTGTCTGCGTACTGCCGTAGAGGGAGCCATTCTCAAATCAACAGATATACAGATAGGGTGGGACTACATGTATGTAACTTCAAACCTTCCTCTATTTTCCGAGTCTAGAATAATAAATACCTGTAGCTGGAATTAAACAATTTAAAATTCATTAACTGAAAGTTAGTTTCCATTTGTTTTTTTAATTTGATGGTAGGTTCCTAATAATAGACCTCTTCATTGAACCACTTGATACTTGGAACTTCAGGTTTTTAGGTCTGTAAAAGAAACAAACCATCTTTAAATCACCTTTAAACATCTACTAGTATATAATGAGCAGGATATGAAAGCAGTCAATGATAGTATTAGGCACGGTGCCAAACTCTAGAAATAGCCAATGTAACTTTATTTTCATTGTGGACATTTTTAGTAACATCCATTAAAGAGCTTAAGAACCTTTAATGGGTTAAAGTGGGGATTTTTGTCAGTATAATTTGGTACTTTGACATTTTAACAGCAGTCAAGCAAGATTGGTAGAGAATGGCATTTCTCTGTCTTAATTTGAGATGTCAAAATCCCCACCTTCTCCTAAATTATGAAATAGTGTACAAGATATTACCAAGATATTTTGAGAGTTCAAAATCAAAACTGATGTGGGAAAGTTGGATGATGTTATTTATAGGATCTCCATCTCTCATTATACATGTTGCCAGATTTCAATTTTCCGGTGTTATACACTTAGAAAATGCGAAAGTGGCCAGCTTCTTTAAAGTAACATTGTTCAAGGGTGATGAAAAGACTTTTTGTAATTTTTATATTTTTTTGTATAAAATGTTACTTATTATATTCCTTCTACTGTACCAACCCTCGAACATGCTAAAAATCCTGACAAAATTCTCAAACCATACAGATATTTATAATTTTCTTTGAAAGTGTCACTGTACGACACCCTCTAACAGTTAATTCTCCCAAACCAATTTTTGAATTTTCCCCAACCGTTTTTCCATGAAAATAAGACATAACACAGGCCTTTACTATTTTTTCAACACTTTAATGTGTAGAATGAGCCTTTTCGATGCAAAAAAAAGAGACAAGGACTATTTCCTTTTCCCTTCATCATTTACATTTTACTCGCATGAATGACTAATAATTCTTAGAATTCTGGCCTTTTAAATTGACTGCTCAAGGACAAACTATGGGGTACTACCTAGGGTGAATTATTGAACTTCAGAAGGATGACATTAATCACAGCTACAAGTGGATTAATACAGCTTGTTCACACTTTCAGGGTTTTTTTTCCCACATGCAAAGACAAAAGGTTGCATGACTTTGTAAGGGTAGGTCTGATTTTCAAAAAATATGTTTCGAAAGATGCGCAAGACTGGAAAGAAAAAAAGTAATACGATTTCAACGCAAGATTCTTTCGCGTTGAAAAATTACCAGGGAAAATGTACTGTATAGGGGGGGGGGGGGGGGGCGGGGGTTAAAGGCCCAATCTGATGAAAATACAACTTTTATATCAATGGAAAGCTGAATGAATGTAGAATACAAATATAAAGGAATAGCAATATTTTCCCTTTCGGTATTGCACAAAAGCAAATCAAGATCTTATTTTCTGCACCCCTCAAAATTAAGGGTCAACAGGGGTCAAATTTGCTGCAGTTACAGTGACAACATAACATGTGGACCCATTCAGCTGGCCTACATGTATATACATGTAGCATAAACCATGCTTAATTGATGCAAAGTCATTGTGAATATGCATACTCTATGTAGATGGTGTCATCAATTTTTTTAGGTAAAAACTTCTGATATTCAAAGCTTTAGATTTTGAGAATTCTGAGAGCTCTTGCTCCTCTGACAGGTATCAAATAACATATAATTGATATTCTTGTTATCCATTGCTTTCCATTGATATATAATTCATCTATTTCAGTCAAGGTCTTTAACCCATTGCCTATGGGAACCAGTGGTTGCTGTATTAAAGATGAAGTTGAGTTCTCGTCATGCGATTGCATTGTGAAAGAAACGGTGTGGAACCGACCAGAAAAGGTTGATCATCTAGCATATAAGAATTTGTGTGTATTGCAAGGTTCTGGAATCATCAAAATGATGAGAAATGTGGCCAAGTCTTGGTAAAATTACAAACACTTGCACAGAAAGATGTATATGGGACTACATGTACACGTGGCGTAAAAAGCCGGCCCCCCGATTTTTACGATGTTACATGCATATTTAGAATATGAAGGCATTTGAAGAGCCATGCTTTTCAGGGAACATGTCTTATCTGATGTTCTTCCACACTTGCATAATAAGAATGATAACGTTAACAAATTATTTTTCACCTCTTCCCAGAACTCAACCTTCTCTTTAAGCCTATGGGGAATGAGAGAAATCAGTAGTCAACAGGTTAATTTACAAATGCATGTGTGTGTGAGCCAGACATGAGTGATTTGGTTCTACTTACATTTGGGAGGTGATGTCGGGTAATCATCCTTGAAAATCATTCTCAGCCTGTACAATCCCTCTTCCCATGGTGTCTGTAAAGTGACAAATGAAAAATCATTTCTTAGCTTGGAAAACTGGTGTCAAACTGTGGAATTACAAACAGCAGCAACATAAAACTGTCATAAATTGTTAAGGATGAACATTTTTAAGACAATAACCTTTAAGTACAAATCTTAAGTGTTGTGTCAACTGGCATTCAATCACTTTACAGCTAAATTTTTGCAAAATCAAACAGAAATTAAATGAACGGATTAGCTTTATGAGGTCATACTGGCTATCATCAAGTATTTTGCAATTAGAAGTTGGCTTTCTTTTATGTTACAATAGCTATCAGTATGCATTTTGCCTCAACTGAATTAGACTTGAGTGAGTCGAGTCATTTTACTGACTAAGTTCTCAGTAAAATACTGACTTAAATCAAGAACTGAATAAAATTACAGTGCAAAACTCCTCTTTAAGTTGCAATGACTCCATATTCTATCAAACAAATTTACGTGTGAAGCTGTGGATTACATTTGTTTCCCATGCTCTTCCAAAACTATTTTTTTTAATAACTCTTCATTGAATATATCATCCACCTGATTATTTCTTGGTATCTATTTCTTTGGAAATAGCAACTCTATGTATCCTTTCCTTTCACCATGAAAGCCACATATTCATAGCTATTTATAAATGTATAAGTAGAATATTCCATGTAGAGGGTCGTTCTATGGTAGACATCCTGTTTGACCATATTTCATTTCACCAATAGTATTTTTTTTATCACCTATCAATAGTACATTAAAAAGGGTAATCCAACCTTAATAGCAAATTACTGAGAGAAATTAGAAAGATCATAGTTACAGACTGGTGAACGTTTGAACTTAAAGGTAATACAAAGTTTCGGGAAATTTTGAAAATTGGGTGGATAGTGAATCTTTACCATTTTTATATACTTGGGTGCCCCTGTGGATGTATTATAAGCACTAAAAAAATTAGCCCCTACAACACTTCTGTTTTCGAGAAAAATTGAATATAAAAATTTACCAGTGCTCCCAGGAAATTTTGATAAATTTCAAATAGCGCCTATGGCTGTACAATGGTAGCTGCGACCATGAAAATCTCAGAATATGTAGTTGTGATATATAATTTCCAAATGGGAATAGCTAATTGGTCGATTTTAGTTAAAAAACATTGTTTTATAGCTTAATTAATATCTTGACCTTGAGAGGGAGCTATACGACATAAGAACTTTATTATTTACAATTTCATAATTTTAGACGCGATTTCAACCGCGACAACGATCAATGAATATTGTAGGAACGCATACGCTCTCAATATATTAATTTGAACCAAATTCATGACCCCATACCAAAACTTTGTAATACCTTTAATCAGACAAAAAGCTTAATGAATATTTGAAAGTTCTAATCACTAAAACATTAATTGATGATATTTATTTACACAACAGGAGAGTTTTTTTGTGTGTGTGTGACTACATGTACTTCGCAATCCACTGACCAAATTACCAATTTGAAAATTAATATTTTGGGACCTCATATTTTAAATATTCAAACTCTCTTAGAATTGTTTTGATTTTAACTTCAAGGTTTCGCAATTCTTGTTTCAGTTTTTTTTTCTTTCCTAAAAATGTACCAATTGCAAAGGTTGGATTGCCCTTTAATATCATAAATCATTTTTAAATTGATACTTGATAATTGATACTTACGGAGTGCTTCCCTGGAATTGCTGTTAGTTGACGGATGTGTGTTTGAACGTGAAGGGGGGGGGGGGGGAGGGGTGAAAAGGGTGGAAGAAAAAGAGAATAAGGAAAATTAGATCAATTACCAGCAAAGAAGTTACAGATAATTTTCCTTTGTTATTTCACCAGATTTAAGATCACAGAGCTAAAGCCGGATCAAAATTTTGACAAACGATGTGATCTTTATTTAAACAAAGCCTTGCCTTGCATAGTTCAACCTGTATCTCTTTCTAACCTATGATTTGTAATATCATATCCGATATATATGGTTTTCTAATTATAGCCTAGGACTCGCTAGGAGTCATGTGACCATCTGATACAATTGCTCTATAAGCCAAGTCTGCCAAGAGGTTTCTAACCAATCTCCCTTGCTGGTCATTTGCAGGTTTTTTCAGGGTCATGAAACGTCAAAATCTTTTTCAGATTCATATTTATAATTCTAAACTGATTGTGTACATATCGAGTGATAACATTTCCAAAAATCATGCTGCTTACCGGTAAACAATTCAATTTTGATACTCAAAGTACAAACTAGTACACTGATTGGGACATGAGCCCAAAACTGGTGAGAGCCACTGCTCAATTAAATGTTTAATACTTAAAACTCTTACTGTACTTTGGGATTCGAGCTTTACATAGCAGTACAAGCAGGCGCGTACGCAGGATTTTTTCAAGGGGGGGGTTTTAACATTTATAAATCGGTCCGAAAATTTCGCAACGACTCAGCCAGCTGCTGAATAAGCGGGGGGGGGGGGGGGGGGGGGGGGGGGGGGGGTAAGAGGACACATTTTTTTTTTTTTTGGTCCCAAAAAAATCGCAACGGCTCAGCCGACCGCTGAATAAGCGGGGGGGGGGGGGGGGGGGGGTAAGAGGACACATTTTTTTTTTTTTTGGTCCCAAAAAAATCGCAACGACTCAGCCGACCGCTGAATAAGCGGGGGGGGGGGGGGTAAGAGGACACTTTTTTTTTTTTTTTTTGGTCTCGAAATTTGGAAATTTGACATTTTGCTCCGTTGGGGGGGGGGGTAAGGTCACCTTTTTTAGGTCGGCCATGGGAATAATTTTTTTTTTTTTTTTTTTTTTTTTAATAATTAAAAAAAAAAAAAAAAAAAAAAAAAAAAAATCCAAAAGGGGGGGGTTTTAGGTTTTTTTTAGGGGGGTTTACACACAAAAAATTTCCAAAGGGGGGGGGTTTAACCCCCCAAACCCCCCCCCTGCGTACGCGCCTGAGTACAAGCATACCTCATCAGTACAGACTGTAGGCCCCTATCTAGAGTATTAATCCTATGCGTCAGTCACACCTTGGCGTATTTGGCTTGCGTATTGCTGCGTATATATGGCAAGCCGTTTTAACATTTATTACTATTTCTTGATATCAAGAATTACCATTGCTTTTAAAACATTTTTATTCCTATTTCTTGATATCAAGAAATTGAATCCTTGATATCAAAATTTCAATTCTTGATATCAAGAAATCATTTCTACATATCAAGAAATAGGAATAAATGTTATAACGGCTTGCCATAAATATGCAGCAATACGCAAGCCAAATACGCACAGGTGTGACTGAGGCACAACACCTCAGTCATCAGTGTGACCGAGCTACTTGAGAGCGTAGTACGGATCTCACATAGAAACACCCATTACTTACCACACTCCCAGTTCATGAGGTTTAATGTACCATCAGCATTCTTAGTTGGCTTTGCTACAAAACCCTGTGGAAATAAATCACACAAATATAATGGAATGTAAATCTGTGCCATCATCATTACCTCTCCTGTGGGCAATTCCATATTGGTTGTAATAAATTGACATACAATGTACTTGAATGTAGCTATTTGGCTATATTTTGAAGAAAAACAAACATTATGAATCATTGAAAGTCAAGATTACTATTAACATATAAAGGAACTAGATGGAATTTTGACTGCGCGCAGTCGAAAATGATGCCTCCGCCATAGAGCAATTTAAACAAGTTTGGAGTTTAAATCTCCAGTGGCTCTTGAGATATCATGATAACAATCTCAATGTATGGAATTTCATAAGTTGACCTCTGTGACCCTTGAACTTTGACCTACGTGCTCCAAAATCTAATCAGATTGTCTTCCTATGGTGATACACACTATCATTAAGTTTGAAGTTTAAATCTCCAGTGGTTCTTGAGATATTATGATATGGTGATACATACTATCATTAAGTTTGAAGTGAAAATTCTCCAGTGGTTCTTGAGATATCGCGATAACGATCTCAATGTATGGAATTTCATAAGTTGACCTCTGTGACCCTTGACCTTTGACCTACGTGCTCCAAAATCTAATCAGATTGTCTTCCTATGGTGATACACACTATCATTAAGTTTGAAGTTTAAATCTCCAGTGGTTCTTGAGATATTATGATAACAATCTCAATGTATGGAATTTCATAAGTTGACCTCTGTGACCCTTGACCTTTGACCTACGTGCTCCAAAATCTAATCAGATCGTCTTCCTATGGTGATACATACTATCCTTAAGTTTGAAGTTTTTACATCTCCAGTGGTTCTTGAGATATCATGATAACAATCTCAATGTATGGAATTTCATAAGTTGACCTCTATGACCCTTGACCTTTGACCTACGTGCTCCAAAATGTAATCAGATTTTTTTCCTATAGTGATACACACTATCACTAAGTTTGAAGTTTAAATCTCCAGTGGTTCTTGAGATATCATGATAACAATCTCAATGTATGGAATTTCATAAGTTGACCTCTGTGACCCTTGACCTTTGACATACGTGCTCCAAAATCTAATCAGATCGTCTTCCTATGGTGATACATACTATCCTTAAGTTTGAAGTTTAAATCTCAAATGGTTCTTGAGATATCGCGCTAACAAACTCAATACAAAGAATTTCATAAGTTGACCTCTGTGACCTGTGACCTTTGACCTACGTACTCCAAAATCTAATCAGATCGTCTTCCTATGGTGATAAATACTATTCCCGAGTCTTAAGTTTATATCTTAAATGGTTCTTGAGATATTGTGATAACGGTCAAATGGGACGGACGTACGGACGTACGGACGGACGTACGGACGTACGGACGTACGGACGTACGGACGGACAACCCGAAAACATGATGCCTCCGGCACCACCTTCGGTGGCGGAGGCATAAAAATCTACTATTGGAATAGCAGTCATGAATCACAATAAAGAGAACTTTCTCATTTGTTTTGTTTCCCATTACCAAATGGGGAATTAATTATTTTAATGCTTCATTTCCATCTTGGAAACTTAAAAGTTGTAGCAGAGTAATAGATTAAAGGAGTCATTTAATCAGATAATCTAGCAATGTACATTGTACATGTAAGTAAATTAAATCCTGCTTTCATTGATTTTGTGTTCCTCTTACATTTTTACACTACCTTTGTATGTTTAGTGCAGCACCGCTACAAGTGAGAACTTAAGAAAGTGACAACCATAAACCCATTTCCTTGCTATACTTACAAAAGGATGGTCTTTTCTCCATGCTTTTCGCTCCTCAGAAAGTCGTGTGATCGCGATACCCGACATGTTGCTGATTTATAATCTTCTGTAGTCTTCTTTTCTGGCTCTCCCACTTCTCTGTAACAGCTATGACTGACTAGGAGAAACAAAAAAAATAAGTGAAGAAAAATCAAACTTCAATGGTTTCACAATCTGGTTGACTGGTCTGGGCTCTCTCTTATAATTATAAAGAGTTGCGATTGATCCGAATCAATCTCATAATCTCACACTTCAGTTCTGGTTAAAACTTAAAAGACTTTGTGGGAGAAAGAACAAGAGTCCACTGGCACTGTCTAGTATTATCAGTATCACTTCTAATACTACCGTAATACTATTTTTTCTTCCAAGTTCTAGTGTCTAGTGAACTACGAAGCCAGTGTGCAATGATTCTTTGTCGTCGCAAACGTCACAATCAGATGGTGATCAGTTGGGGCTCTGTTCCGAGAATATGGATCGCCCGCACAAACGAGGATTTCCTTGTAGTACACCTGGACACATCACTTTGTAGCTGCAAGGAAAAGGCGCTACAGTATATCAAATATCTTTTGGATTGGATTGGATTGGATTCCTAAAAAATAAGAATCGTATGCGGTCGTTTTTTAGGGTGCGCTCTGCGGGTGTAGGGTTCCCGATCCGCGCGCTGTTAATGCGAAAAAAAAGATTCCGTGTAATAAGATACCCCCAATTCACAGTCTACTTCTGTCTTCCCGAGGATTTATTATTTTATTGTTCATAAAGTGAAAGTCTCTGCACTGAGCTGCGTCACTGAGAAATGCATCATGGATGAAGCATCATCGCGGAATATGTGTTTTGCATCGCCAATGCACGGATCGTTGATAGAGATGATTCGCAAAAATGCAGACGATCGTCATTTTGTTCAGACGCAATTTGTCCGCGTTTACAAGGATATCCTCGTTTTATGGGGACGATCCTTATTCTCGGACCATGCAGCGCCCCATACTTCCACCGGTGATCCATCTGCACGGTTCGCTCTATCTAAATAAGTTAAACTTAAGCCTTTGCATAGATCTAGCCCTTAAAATTTTGACAGTCGTGCATGAGACATGACAGTCACCGAGTCAGTTGTTATTCATTGTTATAAAATGGCTCTAGTATTTTAAGCATCGTGATTGGTCAATACGCGTCACATGGCATTGAACAAATTTTGATGCAAGCACGATTTTGCAGAAATGAGTGCAGAAAAAGCGCAGTAAAAAGTTATATTGCACGGTGCGTACGCGTGACCATGGAGATCCAGTGCGCGCGCGTACGTGTAGTACGCGCTCCCTCGAGTTGCATTGCAATTATTGTAGGCTTCGCGTAGCTAATATTGTACGCTCCACCATGATCCCCAGCGCAACGTACGCGTAGCTAGCTCTAGCTGGCCGCTCTAGTTAGCTAGCTCTAGCTAGCTAACTAGAGCGGCCAGCGGGGTATTATTAAAAAGCAAATTTTTATTTTACTTTTGCCTTGGATTTAGGCCTGTTTTGACTTTTGGATTTTATAATGAAGCCAGGAATTTCAGCTGTCTGATGTAGACTCGTCTCTAGACCCACGGTATGGATTTTATTTTTAATCAAGGCAATGAATCCCATTGACTTTTTGGTAAGCCTGCAAGGTCTTAGTCTAATTAGAAGTAGAACCAACATAACTCTAGATCTAGATCTAGATCGAACTCTCGTAGACTCTAACTTATTAGATCTAAAGTTTCGTTTTTGCTATTTGTGTCGCTATTTTATAAAACAAATAACGCACTTGACCCTGCATTGTGCAAAACGTAAATGCAGTAAACGCTCGGTTTCTTCAGATGGTTCGCACTGTCAACTCGCCGCAAGCGGCTCGTTGCACAGAGCGGCACCAATCTAAAGAAACCTCGCGCGTACTGCATTCACCGCTATTGCACTCTGGGACGTGCGTTATTTGTATATTGCCTGTCAATAATTTATTTTATTCATTTTTATTGAAATCATGTCCTTCACAAACAATTTTGCATTTGATTATAATAAAATCAGAAGAGGTATTTCTTACCTTAATAAATAAATGGTCACTATCACAACCGAGTAAACCGAAAATCAACAAAACAATCATCAACTTCAAGCGAAGTGAAATAAACACAATGAACATGATTGATGGATGAGAGACATGCATGATGATGACAAAAACAAAAACAAAAAAAAGACTAAAAATATGAAAATACTTACCCAAAATGTAAAGGTTAAATGGCCGAAATGCAGCTAGTAATCTAGTTTCGGTAACTGAAAGTTATCAAAAAACGCATACATCAAGTAGTAACCTAAAACATCTAATTTTTGGCCAAGTTGACACGACAAAAATAGTGAGGACGTAATTTCCATTCAATGGGATTGTAAACCGTGCGTTGTAAACTGCGCCTCATTCATAACGCACGTAAGTGATTCGAGAAATCGCATTCACGTACCGAGCATGGGCAATTTTGTGTACCAAAAAATGAACGTGAAATCAGCAAAGGTCACGTGATTTGAATGAACCGTGTCATGGATCACTGAGAGAGGGCGCAATAAGTTTAATCCCATAGAGATATATACTACTAAACACTATCTCTATGTTTAATCCATATAGCCAACATGATAAGATAAAAAGGAATATTTTATTTTTGAACTATGATAAAGGGGGTTTGAAAATGTTGAATTTCAAGTACATGATCTATGCACAGCATGTAATGTGGATTAAGAAACTGCTTGGTGGCAGTAATGACATGAAATGGAAACAATTTTTCGAATATATATTCAGAACGGTAGGAGGAAAGTTAATATTTCTTTGCAATAATCCCAAAACAATCAATATTTAGGCACCCAATCTATACTATCTGGAATTATCTAAAGGAGAAGGAATATATTGTAAAAGAAACACATAATGAAAATCAAATTATCTTTAACAATACTTTTATTGAAGGTACGATAATTCCTTTTAATGCAAAATTATTTCATGTGAACATTTTTCAAGTTAAACATTTTGACGGACGCAGAAGGTGATATGAGATCAGGGGACTATTTCATAAAGAAAGGTCTTAATGTAGACGATCTGTTTTTTCTTAATGATCTATACACCAAATTGCCAGTTGCCTGGAAGATTAAGAGAATTTGCAGAGGGAGAGATGATACTCTAAATGACACTGTTGATCTTTCCAACATTAACTTTATCACTAACAAAACAGTGTATTCTTTTGAGTCTGTCTCTTCCAAAATGCTCCAGGCGCGGATCCAGGGGGGGGGGGGGCCGAGCGGGCCTTGGCCCCCCCCCCGCAAAAAAAAAAAAAAAAAAAAGAGAGAAGAAGGAAAAGAAGGGAGAAAGGGAAAAAGGAGAAAAAGGGAAAGAAAGAAGAGGAAGAAGAAAAGTAAAGGGGGAAGAAGAAGGGGGGCCGAAAGGGCCTTGCCTCCCAGGCTGTTAACCCCCCCCCCCCCCCCAATCAAAAAAAAATAAGAGAGAAGGAAGGAAAGGGAAAGAAAAAAAAAAGGAAAAGAGGAGATACTGGCGTACTGATAGAGGGGGGGGGGGGGGGGCTTGGGGGAAATCAAATTCAAACGTGGTTTATTTCTGATTCCACAACGGTGTATTACAAATAATGCTGAAATGACATAATTTCCGAAATTTTTCCTCACTTTTTAGTAAATTATACGTTTGTATGTGTTTGTTGGAAAATAAAAAAATTCCTAAATTTACAACCAGGCAAAAAATATGATTCTTGAGATTCCTACATGTCAGGGCCCGAGGTACGGCGGGGATCAAGAGCCTCGAGGCATCAAAATATGCTCATCTGACCGTGATTAAATGCCTAAAACCCCTAAGCTTCCGGGGGTTTTGCCCCTGGATTCCATCTAGGGCCCTACGGCGGGCCCTTAGATGATCATCTGACGGTAATTTAATGCCTAAAACCCCTGATTTTTTGGGGCTCCGCCCCCTGGACCCCACGTCAAATAGTGACTTGCCAGTGTCACAAAATAATAAGGTATACACAAAAATATGCTCATCTGATCTTAATTAAACGCCTAAAACCCCTGAGCTTCCGGGGCCGGCTCCGCCGCCTCGACCCCACCTCTTTGAAATTCAGACAAGGATTAAGAGTATAGAGAACGGTACAACGCATCGTTTTCTTTCTCTAATAATAAAACGTCAAAGCCTCGCGCAGGAGGGGAGGAGGGGGGGGGGGGGGGGGGGGACTGAATTGAGACGAGGATTCAGAGGCGAGAACGGTAATACGAATCTTTAATTATTTAATGAAACGTAAAAGCTTATGCGCTTCGCGCGGGATGGAGGGGGAACTAAATTCCGATGAGGATTATTTTCGAGAACGGTACAATGAATCGTCTTCTTCTCTAATGATTAAATGAAGATTAAAAGCTTCCGCGCTTTGCGCGGGAGGGGGGAACCTGAATTCAGACGAGGATTAAGAGTCGAGAACTGTACAACGAATCGTCTTCTTTCTCTAATAATTTAATAAATCGTAAAATTTTCCGCGCTTCGCGCGGGAGGGGAAAAACTAAATTCAGACGAGAATTATTTTCGAGAACGGTACAACGAATCGTCTTCTTTCTTCAATAGTTTAATAAAACGTCAAAGCTTCCGCGCTTCGCGCAGGAGGGGGAGAGGGGGGGGGGACTGAATTTAGACAAGGATTAAGAGTCGAGAACTGTACAACGAATCGTCTTCTTTCTCTAATAATTTAATAAGTCGTAAAACTTTCCGCGCTTCGCGCGGGAGGGGAAAACTAAATTCATACGAGAATTATTTTCGAGAACGGTACAACGAATCGTCTTCTTTCTCTAATAATATAATGAAACGTCAAAGCCTGGGAGGGGAAAACTCGCCCCCCCCCCCTGCACCGATCCCCCCCCCCCGCATTACGTCACTGTTGATCACCATAACGTACCAATATTTGGCTCGCATAATTTCAAATTTGGGCCCCCCCCCCCTAAGAAATCCTGGATCCGCGCCTGAAATGCTCTATAACATTTGTATTGCTATAATACAACATGCATTTGCTTTTAAACATCCAGAGGTAATAGCTTTAAATCTAGATAAGTCGGAAACATGTTTCTCAATCCCCATATTTCTTCTCTAGATGGGAAGTTAAAGGAATTTCAGTATAAACTTTTACATAACATCATATTTTGTAATGATAAATTGTATCTTTTTGGATTAACACAGTCAAATTTATGTTCCTTTTGTAGAAAAGAAGTAGAAACCTATCGTCATATCTTCTTTGAATGTTCTGAAGGGTCCGGAATATGGAATGAGATGGGAAACAGTTTAAAGATGTTTCAGTTTTTTAATATGCAATGGATTGATGTGTTGCTTGGTTTCAGAAAAAATATGAAAGATAATATATTGTTAAATCATGTATTGATTTTGGTTAAATATATGATTTACAGTAATCGTAAAAATGGAAATGTCCCAACTAGTAAAGAAATATGAAAGACTGTAGAGAACTAAAAAAACTTTGAACATGAAAAAGCAAAATTAAAGGACAAACTGCCAATACATTACCAAAAATGGGAAAATTTTATCCCTTATATAAGGCAGGGGAACTGATTGTATATATATATTGTAATTCCTGTTCACTCCCTCACTTTCTCATCGATTCGGACACTTATCTGCTATCGTGTTTGCTTGTTTTTTTTATATGTTATATATGTATTTTTTTAAATAATAGTTTAGTTACAGACCTCCACTGATACAAGACCCTCATATAGTTATAATGAAAAATGCACCATATGTAAATATAACAAATTTTGTTATCATGGGTTATGAAGCAGCACCTTCACCTTTTACTTTTTGTTTATATGAGAAAATCTTTGTTCAGATTGCTTAATTTATATTAAACTAATTAATTTGATATTATGTTGTAAAAATTGTTCCTTTTTATAATGTTGTATCCAAAAATACTAATATGAAGTATTACCGCCACCTTTTCCCTTTTTAAAGGAATTGGAGCACATTCTGTACACTTGGTTGAATGTGTACTATATTAGTTTGGATACCTATGGAAAATATTTTTTTTAATATGTCTGTGTTTATAATGTATATATGAGACAATGTACTAGTATGTTTATACTATAAGAACAATTGTGTTCCTATCCATCATTTTGTATAATTATGAAGATCTGAATAAAGGCAAAAAAGCTTAAAAAAAAAAAAAACATACACGATCCTATCATCGAATCTACAATAATATTAATCCGGTCTTTTCGTAATCTTATGCATATTCTCTTGTATTGGTTTTCAATCCTCTATTCCCTTCTCTAGTCATTTTCATCATACATCTAACTCGATCTTTATTTGCTTATTTAACATTTTGGGTGCTTTGACGAAGCTCATCGGTAATTGGACCGACTCCCAATCCTAATAGAGTATAACATTTTTCTTTAATTTGATATATATTTTTTATTCATTATACTTTATTGACGGTTTATATGATTTTTGTTATGGCAGCGTGTACTTTCTGTTCACAAAGTTAGGCAATATCTATATGTGTACGCTAATTGCTGATGAATAGCGTTTTCCTGCCGTCAGACCCAATAAATAATTGTATTCTTGATAACAACAAAATATAGTCACATTGGGTGCCATATCTTAATTGTCTTTTTCTCTCCGAAAAACAAAATTATTACAATAATTTACACAGCTAGACATTGGGCCTCAGGAAATTTAGAAGGATGTGTGGCTTTAGTTTGAAACAAACAATTGACCTTTTTCTTTCACGATGTTTAAAGTGGGCCTAACGACATGCATGAGCTGACACGTTTACCTAAAAAAACTATTCATCATTAACCAGTTGTTCAAATTATTTAATTTTTAATTGGTCCATCTTTCTTGCATTTACAGAAAAACAGTCATTAAATAATTATGATGAAATAAAATCATCATAATTTATCAAATATAGTTGGTGAATAAATCCCCTTTTCTCGATGTTATACCTTGCATGAGTAACTTCGAGATCAAAGGGCTTGTTAAGATGAGTTAAATATGTTTATCCATGTTTAATGTCCATTAAACCACGGAAATACTTTCGACCCAGCGACGGTAGGCTTAAATAAAGTAGAATACAGGCCGACCAAAATTTCCAGTCATGTAATTAATGAAAGGTTTTCAAAATATAGAAAATTAGGGTCACCTGACACCATAGAAATTCCATACACCCATATCATCAAAACACTTAAACAAGGGAAATGCTCTCGGCGGTCTCGCCTGCATAACGCAATTCAATATGATAAACCAAAACGTCAATGACGTAGCGCTCATCTGCATCTCGCAACAACAAATATCGTAAATTTTATGTGGTACACTTTTGAACTGGTCAAAAATGAATTTCACGATTCTGTGTAGAAATTTTAAATCCCCCTCCTAGCCCTATCATATGAAACAATCAGAATCGAAATCGG